CGCCCAAAAAGCCCTCCAAGAGGCCCTCAAAAGACCCCCAAGAAGCTCCTTCCCCTCCTCCTCCTCCTCCTCCGATTCTTCCTCCTTCTCCGTCCTCCTCCTCCTCCTCCTCCTCCTCCTCTTCCCCCTCCTCCTCCTCCTCCTCCGACGACGACGACGACGACGACGATGACGACTCCTCTTCCATCCTCCCCCTCTCGGGGTCTGTGACAGCTTCCCCCGCCCTTTGTTATTCTGCATGCTCCCCGACTTCCCTGATCACCTCAACTCCCCTGAGCATCGTTTCTGGATGGGCTGGTGGGGATACGCGAAGCGTCAACAATTCAAGGAACCTCGTCTGTCACATCCAACCGCTATTCGCGTCGAATCCGCGTCGAATCCACGACTGCACGTTGAATCCGTGTCGAAACCGCGTCCGAACATATACGTCTGATGCCAGAAAAAGGAATACCATTTACAAGACAGACGAGATCCCCCGAATTTTTAACGTAAGGGATAATGATCAAGTCAATCCAGTCGCGCTAGCGTGGTCGTTCAAGCCTTAAGGAGCGAACGAGGAGGCATTCGGCAACGGCCGTGCGGCTTAAACGTCGGTGGGCTCCCTGGCCAAGCCGACCAGGGTGCGGCATCGCTATGGGACGGCGTGGTGCTCGTCCTGGTCGTGGAGCGACATGGTGCTGCTCTCGAGATGCGATACCATGCAATATCCGACAACGCCTGTGACTACGCCAATTGCGAACCAATATGCTCTTCAGAGTCCCATTTATCCGTGAATTCGCGAATGAGCTTACTTGGTGGCTTGCCCGCGATATTGCACATTCATGCTTGCTCTGGCTACTAGCTTGCTTACCCGAAGGCCCATCACGTGAGTACCGGCACGCTTGCCGACTGCTCGTCAGTTGGCACCTCGAATTCCGATTCGTCGAGCTGACTACTCAGTGGTCCGATTGTGGTCTTCACGAGCGTCTCCTTGTGATCGCCACGATCTCTGCCTTGTGATCTCTGCCGATCGTGACAAGCCCATCATGATCCCGCATCACCTCGGTGCTCGTTGGCCCGCTCGCACGCCGTGCAGCCCACCTCCCCGGCGCTGGGACGCACGCAGCACGCGGCAGAGCGCGCCTCCTGCCCGCCGTCGTGGGACCCCTCTGCCCCGATCCTCTCGCCTTGGGCGGGCGGACTGCTTGGCTGCCGCCCGGCTGCAACTGGTGCCCAGGACTCATCAGGCCTCGTGTGGCCGTCGGTGCTGATGAGGACTGCGGCTGGCGGTCCGATTTTGGCAACGCTCAGATTTGAGACATAGCATGGGATGGCCACAGGTCGGCGTCAGGTGGAAGCGAAAAGACATGAGAACATGATAGGGGGACAGGAGGAGGATGGCGTGCGCGCGGATGCACCCCGTCTCGGGCCTGACTGGACCATGTTCAGGATCACCCCCTGCATCAGTACGGTGCAAGGCACACGATATGGGCATCCCCATCCCCTGATCCTCTACACGTCTCCTCCCATGGCACCTGCCTCTGCTCTCGCATCTCCCTGGTTGCCCGCGACTGCTTCACTCTGCTCTGCAACATCACTCCCGATTTCGGGAGCGGCCAAGAGGGGGGTGTCCAAGAGGGCTGTGTGCAAATCATGACCGGCGGCATGTGCGCGGCCCAGCGCGGGGGCCAGGGACGTAACGAAATAAGAAGAGGCGCCATGAAATCTGGGGAAATATCATGGCCCCCGCCATGATATCCACCCCTCCTAATCATCACCCCCCTCTTTTCCGCCCCCGAGACGAGTGGGGGGGCGGGCGACTCTCTTTGCAGCGGGACCCCGAGCTGACGCCCTCAGAGAGGGGCGAGGGGCCTCGCCATCGCTCGGACGTCCATTCCCTGTGTTTTTGTTCGGTTTCGTGCGTGGTTTTTTCACCAAGTGATCAAGGATGCTCCTCGATGGTCCTCGCCGAAGGAAAAATGCACACGTCCGAGCGATGCCAAGGAGTAACAGTGGCTCTCGTGGACAGCTGCTCCTGAGGCTGGGGGGGCACAAGCATCCCCACGGCCGCCTCCTGCGGTGGCTTGCACGGGGCCATGACATCGGGGAGATGTTCGGGCCCAGGTTTACGTCGGGCCTGTTCCCCTACAGGCGGATGTTGGGCAAAAATAAGAAATACCCCCAAAATACCCCAAAAATGTTCAAAAGTGGTAGAGAAATCGTCCCCAGACTATTTTTGACTATTTTTGAATCTCCCCCCTGTTGAGGAACAGGCCGGACTTAAGCCCAGGCCGTGATGTCCCCGCTCGTCAGTCTCGGCCTCCCTCTTCGACGCCCCCGATACTGGAGAACGCGCATCCCCAACAATCCCAGGGGGCTGCCAGGGCAACTAAAGCCAAGGCACTGGAATCCCATGGCAAGATCAACCAAAATTGACCGAGGGCTCCCAACTTTGCGCTTAGCGCTGCGCGGAGCGCGAATAATTTCGCGCTCTCGCGCCGCCTCCCAGGGGAGAAGAGGAGGATGAGGAGGAATCGGAGCCGAACCGCGACGCGCGAATAACTTCGCGCCCTCGAGGGCGCCCTTGGATCAACTAACATTAACTTGGCAAATCGGACCAAAACGTAATGTGCTTCGGATGGGACTGCATCGGCTCGGGATCGAATTCGAACCCGATCGGCTGCTCAACGATGCGCAACGATACCATACAAGCATCGTGCCGTATCTGATCTTCAGCATGTCGGAATCGAATCGGCTCGAGTTGGCCCAAATCGATGTCGAATCGGATCGCTCGGAACGACATAGGCCCTGCATTGGTCACCATCTGAAAGCCACCACTCAGGGGCAACCGAAGTCACAACCATGTTGACCACCACCAGAAAGACCACTACCAAGGGCGCCCTGTGGACAGGGGACCGTATCGGTCCCTGCCAGAACATCACCAGCCAAGGAGCAACTAAAGCTGGGCCTGCACGGCAACTTCGCGTCGCTTCGAGTTCGGCGTTGGTTTCTGACACCGCGTGGGTTGTTCAACCTTGAGCGATCGCGGCTCTCCTATGGACCGGATCGTTCGTTGTCGGCTAATTCTGGGCCGCTCGCGGAACTCAACGTTGAACGCCCACGCTGTCACCGCCGCGTCGACGCGGCGCGAACCTGTCGCAACACCCGGGCCCTATGGACGGGATCGTATCGGCCACCGCTGAATCACCACCTCCCAAGGAACAAACGATACCAGAGAAAACCCCAATCATAATCTTTTTAGGGCTATAGGGCTATAAGGCTATGGGGCAATAGGGCTGTAATGAAGTCGGGCCTGTCCTCCTACAGGGGGATTTTGAACGAAACATAACAAAAAAAACAAAAAATACCCCCAATTGGTCAAGAAATACTCAAACAATCATCCCCAGACTATTTTTCGACTATTTTGGAATATTCCTCCTGTAGAGGGACAGGCCCGACTTAAGGCTATAGGACTATAAGGCTATAAGGCTATAGGGCCATAGGGCCATAGGGCTGTAGGGCTATTAAAACTATAGGGCTGTAGGCTACAAGGTTATAAGGCGGTTGGGCTATAAATTTACAAAAATACCGGGCACGCGGGCACCTGGGCACAGGGGCACCCGGGCGTGCCGCCGAAATCGGCGCTGCACCTCACCTAACCATATGAATCCGCTAAGGCTACCTGGCACCCGGGCACCCTGGCACACGGGCACCCAAGAACCTGGGCGTGCCCCCGAAATCGGCGCCACTCCCTCACCTAACCGTATAATACTGGAGAAAAGACCCAATCATAATCTTTTTAGGGCTATAGGGCTACAGAGCTATAGGGCTATAAGTCTCTGGGGCTGTAGGAAGCGGCTGCACTCGCGAACGCTTCACTCGCGCGCACTTAACTCGTAGAGGCTGCACTCGCAGACACTTGACTCGCACCAAACTGCACTCGCAAGGAACTGCACGTGCAGAAGCTGCACTCGCACGCGGCTGGACTCGGAGAAGCTGCACTCACAAGGCTGTACTCGCACGCTGTGGCAGAGGTGCACGCGTGGAGCTCTGCGAGTTCAGCTGCGTGCGAGTGAAGTGTTCGCGGGTGCAGTTCTCTGCGAGATCAGCTTCTGCGAGTGCAGTTCTGTGCGAGTGCAGTGTGTGCGAGTGCAGCTTTCTGCGAGTTCAGCTCTTGCCGAGTGCAGCTCCTGCGAGTGCAGCTTCCTTCGAGTGGAGTTCTCTCGAGTTCAGCTGTCTACGAGTTGAGCTGGCGTTTTTTGTCGGACGGAGCGAAGCACGCTGCGCGCTGAGCGCCCTCGGCGCTTCTCCGTCGGTGGACTCATGGTGCGCTTCTTTCTTGCGTTTCCTGTGGTTCCCTTCTGTCTGGTCCTGCCTCTTGCCTTGCTTCCCTCTTCTGCCTGTGGGTCCTTCCCTCGCCCTTGTGCTTCCTTACCTTTGTGCTTGTGCTTTCTCTCTCTCTCTCTGTCTCTTTGTCCGTCGCCTGTTTCGCCTCGCGCGCCCCTCCCTCTGCGCTTGGTTTCGACGCCGGTGCGGCCGCCGGTTGCTGATCCGCAGCTGCTTCGGTCCGACGCTGCGACGGCAAAAGTCGGTGTGTTCCCTCCCTCTCCTCGATTCGTTTCGTCGTTTCCTTTCCCCGCCCCCTCGTTAGTCGGCCCTCCGTTTTCTCGGGCTCTCTTCCCTCCTCTCGCCCCACCTGCGCTCTCTGCGCTTCCGCGGTGAAGAGGGGTGGCGCAAGACGTGGAGGAGGCATGAAGGGATGGCCATCGTCGCTTGTCCAGGCTGCTCTGGGCTTCAGGAGGCGACGCGGGGATGCGGGCGTCACTATGTACCTCTGGTCGTCTGGGTCCCGTCGTCGTCATTCCCGCCATCGTCGCCGCCTGATCTGACTCCTTCCTTCTCGACGTTCTCGTCATGTTCTTCCAGGCCGTCTCGTCGTAGCACTCGTCGTTCTCGTGGTTTGCGTCGTCCTTCTTTGCCGGCGTTTTCTCGATGTTCGGAGGCTGTTTCACTCTCCTGTTCTTCCAGGTCTTGCCGTCGTCGCAATCATCCTTCTCGTTGCTTGCGTCGTCCTTGCTTGCCGGCATTTCCAGGAATTTTCGGAGGCTGTCACGATGTTCGGTGTCATTGGGGGTGCGGCCGCCCTCGTCGTCGACATTGTCGTCGCTGGCCGCATATCCTTGTCTGCTTTCGCTCGTCTTCGGCATCGTCGGTTCTTCTCAATCGCCGTCGCCGTTTTCGCCCTGCTCGTCGACCATCATCTCGACGTCGACGACGATGTCGCCCGCTTTTGCAGCAACGATGTTGACCAACGACGAACGCCGACGACATGGGCGTCGTCGCTCCTGGAGGCTTCACCTTTTGCTTGCTGGTGGCCGCTTCGGTTGGTCAGGCGGTGGGGCGGGCCGCCCATGTTTGGAGACGCGGGCGAATGACGGCGTGTCTTGGGGCCGCCGTCGCAGCGGGCCGTGCTGGGGCGCCTCGCGCGGATCCCATGCAGGGTTCATCGGTTCGAATGTTTCCTATTTTTTCAACCATCCTGTGGTGTTGGGTCCTCGTTTTGAAGAGACGGTCCCCGCGTTCTCCTCCTTCCTCCCCCCCTTCGTCCCTCCTCCCTCATTTCGTGGCCCCATAGCGGGCTCCACCGAAGGCTCCAGTGGGACCGCCTGCATGCGTCATTCACCACCCACTACAGCATTTCGTGGTCCCATAGGGGGCTCCACCGAAGGCCCGTGGGACCGCCCGCATGCGTCATCCACCACCCAACACAGCATTTCGTGGCGCCATAATGAGTTCCACCGAAGGCTCCAGTGGGACCGCCCGCGTATTGCAACCGCACTCGGGCCGCGCATTCCGGGCGGGAGCCAGCCTGCTCGCTCTCTTCGCTCCGCGCAGCGGACGACCCGCGCGCGTCGCCAGGGCCCCTTCGGAGCGACCAGTGCGCGTCGCGGGAACTCCGCGCGGCGCCGTGCCCGCAGCCTTGGACGTGGGCGTGCACGGGCAAGGAGGGATAATAATAGCGGGAAGGAAGCGGGCGCGATCCTCGTGAGAGGCGCGCCGACATGGGCGTCGACATTTATGCGCGTAGACTCACGCGCGCGCAAGTCCATCCACACTCAGACTCACTCGCTCTCAGTCTCTCGCACACAGACCTATCGTCTACGCTCGCGTTGTGTGCCCCGCCACGCATGTCGGCGCGCCCCTCGCGCGGTTCGTGGCCACATAGGGAGCGCGGGCGAAAATGATATTCATAATTGCGGAATTCACAACTGCATATGGTTGGGCCCTTCGCCAAACTAATTTTCAAAGCCGGGCGGCATCCTCGGCGTCGGGGTCGGGGCCGGCGCTGGCGTGCTTGTTCCGTGCGTTTTCCATGTCTTGCTTGATTGTTTCCTGCCCCCACGTCTTGAAAACTCCCGACCAACTTCGATTTGGATTTGCGGCTGCGGGGCGGGCAT